AGAAGAGTGGGAAGCAGAACTTGGCCAACGTGGCTGAATTTTAGTCATGACATTCAGGACATGTCAAAGAACCTTCACTGGTTCTAAGTGGATAGTCTACCAGTGCTTGCATCTTGCAAAGATTTCTAGTGAAGACAGTGACTATTTTCTAGGAAGAAAGGGGACAGCATCAGGGTTTGCTAAGCCACTGCTCTTCAATGTTTCGGGCTAGAACTTTTCTCGGAGCAAGGCGTTACCGAAAATATCTAAGCAAAAGGTGGAATATGTGGGTTTTGATTTTTTGGTGGTTGACAGGGAAATGAGAATCTGTATCATGCGTTTTGATACTTAGTCCTGAGATCTGATTCATAAGAGTCATATCTTCCACCCAGGCTTGCAGGCTTGTATCTCTCTCTTGATAAGTTCTGCACATGGATGTCTAAAAAGCAGATTACTGCACAGATGGTTATTCTCTCCTAGGTGTCCTGAAATACAGATAGAAAACCGACAAAGTTGTGGCTTTCATAAATCCTTTCTTAGGCTGGGTGCCAGATTACAAGACAGTCTGAGGTAAAATTTCCAGGTAGCTAACTAAATTAAGGAGAAAAACATCAGGGAGCCTACTAAATTTAGAGTTTTTCTATGTTACTGTGAAAGAGAAGGAACACAGGAGAGACACTTTGCTACATATCCTGTAATACAATGCCGATGTCACTGTGGGTGTTAGCGCTGGTCCACTAGACTTTTAACAGGAATTCATGAGTTTGATCTCAGAAAATGCAAAAATCATGAGACTGATTCCTCCAACATGATTATTTGGCATGATATCTAAATGTAATTTTTATGGGTAGTTATTGAACAAAAATTTGAAGCAGGATATCAGATTTTTTTTTCATGATGAAGGTGGTGAAACACTGGAACAGGTTGCCGAGAGAGGTGGTAGACGCCCCACCCCTGCAAACATTCAAGGTCAGGTTGGATGGAGCTCTGAGCAATCTGATCTAGTTGAAGATGTCCCTGCTCATTGCATGGGGGCTGGACCAGATGACCTTTAATGGTCCCTTCCAACACAAACTATTTTATGATTCTATGAGTCTATGAAATCAGGCAAGAATTAAAGGAGATGGGAAGAACCATATTCTTAATTTCATTGTGCTTAATATGTATTTTTATAATAGTTTATGGCTGCTATATGCTTCTTATAGTAGTATCTTACAGGAACAGTTTTTGCTACTATGGCTACTATGTGGCTACTATGTGAAGATCATTCTTACAGTTGTTTCAATAATGACAACTTTAATTTTCCAGCTCATCAGTGGTCATCAGTTACCACCGAGCAACCTGTCAAAGACGAACAAAGCTGACCCATTAGTACACATTGAGATTTATGGTGTGCCAGAGGATCAAACAAAAAGAAAATCTAGTGTTGTAAAAAGCAATGGTAAGGATCACTCTTATTCTCTTGACTGTGAACAAAACACAGTAATATTTTATAAGAAATTACCATTTTGCCTTCCCAAGAAGATGTTATACACTTACAGCAACTGCAAAAATTTCACTCTAGGTGAGGATCTTCTGGTATGAAATCTGTAGCAGAAGTTCAGGCTATGTGCCATTTTTGTAGACTTGTAGGTTAAGGAAGCACAAACTGTCTTGGTTAGTAGCATTCTCCTGGAGGAAGATGGAATGTTGTCTTTACTCACTGTTGTGGGCCTGCCCTGGACAGCAGCCCAGCCCCACACAGCTGCTTCATCAGTCTCCCAGTGGGATGGGGGAGAAAGTTAGAAGGACAAAAGTGAGAAAACTCTTAGCTTGAGATAAAGACAGTTTAATAGGTAGTGCAAAAGCTGTGTACACAAGCAAAGCAAAGCAAAGAATTCATTCCCCACTTCACGTCATCAGGCAAATGTTTAGTCAGTTCCAGGAATGCAGGGCTTCATCATGCATAACGCTTACTTGGGAAGGCAAATGCCTTTGCTCCAAAAGTCCCTCCCCCTCATTCTTCTTTCTCCCAGCTTTTTTATGCTGAGCATGACGTCATGCATTATGGAATATCCCTTTGGTCAGTTTGAGTCAGCTGTCTCAGCTGTGTCTTCTCCCAACTTCTTCTGCACTATTCCCAGCCTGCTCACTGGGATGGAGAGGGAGGGGTTGCAGTGTGAGAAGGAAAGGTCCTTGGCACTGTGTAAGCACTGCTCAGCAATACCTGAAATATTGGTGTGTTATCAACACTCTTTTGGTCATAAATCCAAAACATAGCACTATATGGGTTGATATGAAGAAAATTAACCCTGTCCCAGCCAAAATCAGTACAGTAATAGGTAAATTTAAAGGCATTTTTTCTAAAGAAATTTCTGTGACGTCATCAGCTCATGTGAACTTTCTAGCAGAACTAGCCCCTTAATCACTTGACAGGCAAAATGAGTCTTCCTTGTAGTTGTCTTCAAGCACTCCTTTACCTTTATCATGTAGTTCTTCTTGATGTATCAGACTAAAGGTTCCCTGTGATCTTCTTCGCTGCCTCTGTCTTCTGTCTTCTATTTTTCCTTTTTGTAGATGGCTGCTGTTTTAAATCAGCCTGTGAATTTCTTTTCTCTCTGTATGAACATTGTTCAAGACAAAGCACCTCTCTTGTTCCACATCCTTATTTTGTATTTTCAGTCAAGTGATCACTTTACTACCTTAATTTATTTAGCTCCTGTCTCATTTCCGACACTGAAAGGAGAAACTTTGACAAAAACATGAAACTGGTATGGCTATAGGAAAATAGAAGTCAAGCAGAGGTTCTTAACCTGGCTATCGCTGTCCTATTTTGCTCCCTTTTAAGAGGTGACATCTACTTTTTTTGATTTACAGCATTATGTAGCTAATACACAACAAATCCTTACGAGGGGCTGGCTTGCATACTGTAGTCAAGTCCCAAGCTCTCTAAGTTTGCTTCATTCTGAGAGCTTCGCTCTGACACTTTTAACTCCATAATCGATACAAAAGTTGTGACCTATGTACCACTGCAGTCAGTGGGAGTCTCATCATTTACTTAAGCGGGCACAGAAATCCAGGGGAAAAGAACGAATCTTTACCAGTTTAGACTAGTGATAGCAGATACAATAATTCAGATACCAAGTGGAGTAAATGAAATGGTATTCTGATACTGTGTATTTTCTCTTTTCATTAGCTTTGAATCCTCGATGGAACGAAATATTCTCATTTACTGTCCAAGTTCCGGAACTGGCATTGATACGGTTCTGTGTCGAGGATGAGATCTCTCTGGTTGCAAACGAATTTCTGGGTCAATATACTCTGCCACTGCTGAGCCTGAAAAAAGGTAACATTTTTTTATGTGAGTCACCTATAACAGCTCAAAAAAATGTAAAATATTCCAGGCTTTTAAGATTACTGTAGTATTGATAGAGTACAGCATCATGTTTATTTCCTAAAGGAGAATTGTCTAACCATAGGTAAAAATTGCACTCTTTGGTTTTTAAAGTCATTACAGTCTCTGAATGCAAATCTATGGTGTAGAAATCAAAAGAATATTAATGACAACAAATTATTCCTACTACAGTATTCCACTACAGACAGAAACTGCTCAGACAGTATTTTAACTCACTGTAACAGGAAACAGGAAGAGAGATTAGTCAGAACTACTGTAAAGCCAACAGTTTTGTGCACTTTTTACTCAGGTAGGGTCAAAACCTAATAGAAGCCAAATTAAAACAAAACAAAGACATTACTTTTAAAGCACACTTACTTTTCTCCAACATAAATTTTTACACTGATCACCTTTTACTTTCCTTTTATTTGTATATTTGAGGATAATGGAAAAAAAACTCCACCAACTCACAATGTCTGAGACAAATTTAAATAGCAGACACTGAAGCTTATACTGAATCAGACACTGAAGCAGACACTGAAGCTTACATATGCTTGTAAAACCATCAAATTGGACTTTTTTTCACATGATTTTTTGGTGTGTCTCTAATGTGCCTGTATGATTAATTCTGGTCACAAATAGAGATTCATATTTTGGAAAAGTAAGAGCATGCAGATTCTACAGCATGCAGATTCTACAGCATTTTCAAAATGCTAGGAAATAAGTGTAGGTACAAAAACTATAAACGGCGCCAAACAAATTGCCCCAATTTCCACTTAACACAATGTGAAAAAATATAAGATTCCATCAAGATGCCCAGAGGTATAAATAAAATTCATCCAAGAGCTGAACTGACAGATAATTTCAAAATTTATTGCAATGCTTAACATTGAGACCTCTGGATTCAAGGTCTGGAACCATAGTTTTGCTTTAGGTACCTAAGCTCCCTAAAGTGAAAGGAGAAAATAATGTGTTTTACAGAGAGCCACAACAGCCTAGATTTCTTAGGAAAGAAATGTCTAAGCCATGCTGAAGAGTGAGTTAGGATTTAAATCTTAATCTTCAGATCGCTTTAATCTGCACTAGAGGACTGTCTCTCCTTTCCTAGGATTCACATCCCTGAGGTGTCCCCTGAGGGCAAGGTACTTCCAAAACCAGCAGTGCTTATATCTTATTTTGTTTTTCTTTGACAGGCAGTGGGACAAAGTTGTGCCATTGCCACCCTCGCCTGCATTTTCTCTTGAAAGGATGCAAATGGGTGTCACCACAGCCTGCCTTTCCCCAGCAGCAGCCTCCACACTCAGTTGATGGCACTGGGGAAGAATGCTCACCGCCCCCCCTGTAGCAGCATCTGAGTTTTCGTGCCATGTTTAAGTAGGCATACTCAAAGGGGCTGAAGGCAGCGAGGATAATTCTCTTGCTGGGTGGCTAAAGGCAAGAGGAGGGAGGTCTTGGGCTACAGTCCCTGTCCCAATGGTTGTGCCGTGTAGAATACTAATACAAGACAGCAATTCCATTATTACTGCTATTATGACCAGATCAATGAATAGTTAATTATTTCATACAAATTGGAACAGTTTCAATAAAAAAGAAGTTTTACTTCTCTCAGGACACTTTGTAGAATATTCTGTAGGTAGAAGCTAGAACAGTTTTTAGAAATGAGTCTTAGCTCCTGAAGTGTATCTTTGGACAGGAATTAAACCCAAGTCTTTCACATACTGTGTGCATGCTCTAAAAGTTGAACTCAAATGCATATTCCCTGGACTCAGCTTTCGTATCTGCTGCCCAGAAGCTGAACCTTAGATGCCAGGTGAGCTCTCATGTCATATAAAAGAATCAAGAAAATCCAAATCCCAATAAATGAAGGTCCCAAAGACTACACACACATCCAGACACATCTAAAGAAGGATTTTGAAAACTGCAGTTCTGAATGCAGATACCTATTCATAACAGATACTTACCTAAATGACTGCAGTTATATATACATGGATAAAACAGAACACTTTTTAAAATCAAAAGTGACATTTTTTATTATTATGAAATAATGGATATTTACAGTCATATAAAGCAATACAGGTTTGGGGTTTTTGGAGAGGGGATTGTTTTCTTTTCTGAACAGGTATGTTAATTAAGTTTGAAGTTGAGAACTATAGCTTCTCCAAATCATAGAATTATAGAATGGTTAGGGTTGGAAGGGACCTCAAAGATCATCTAGTTCCAACCCCCCTGCCATGGGCAGGGACACCCTCCACTACACCAGGTTGCTCAAAGCCTCATCCAACCTGGCCTTGAACACTTCCAGGGATGAGGCATCCACAACTTGTAGTTTTGAACATGTAGTTTCTGAGGCCTGCCTTATCTCTGATACTGGGAACTACTCAAAAGGATATCCTTAATAGACTTAAGATGTCATGGTAGAAGATCTTACACCATACTTCTTTTCTGCCTCAGCTGGACAGTGCGTTACTGCTGCAATACCATTCTTCTCTAAGGCACTCTCATCACTGTCGACTCAAGTTATTTACTTTGCTATAAGAACAATGTCTGCAGCACGTAATATCTTTGGATGTTAAGATGCATGCTTTCCCGTATTTAAATATCACTGGGCTAAAAGTCTTCGGTTTGAAAACACATCACATCCTGAAAGACACCGAAGTTTTTCACTCTGTGTCTAAAAATGCCAGAATCGAAATACTGTATATGTAGAGCAGAAAAACTCTAGAAATGGAATTTGAGTTTTGTGTCACGGAATCACAGAATCACAGAATGTTAGGGATTGGAAGGGACCTCAAAGGATCATCTAGTCCAATCCCCCTGCCAGAGCAGGACCACCTAGATTAGATCATCTCAGTTTATTTTAAAGAGTTATTCAGAGAACAATAAATTATGCCTCGTTTGCATAGGAGATCATAAACCCACTCCATTATGATGGAGCTGCATTTGCAGTTAATGCACCTTTGCACCCCCAGCCAGTACCCTAACCAAGTGTCCTTGTATTTACAGGTTACCGAACCATTCCCCTGTTGGCTGAAGACGGCGGCAATCTCGAGGCTGCATCCCTGTTTGTTCACATCTGGTACTACTAATGACGCTCTGCAGTACCAGTTGTGCCGGCAGGACACACTCTGTTGAATAAAGAAACATCAGGCTTGCACCAATCCAGTGGTCTGATTTCCTGAGCAGCACGTTCTCAACGATTTCATTAAGCTAATAGGACTTCTCGTGTGAGTAAATGGTATCTTGAAAAAGTAACAGCTACTGACGTTGGCTCTACCATTATTTAGAACTAATTCATAAAGACTGAACTTTTGGGGATATTTTTAAAATCCAGTTAATAATCTAATTTGCAGCTAATTTCAAAATTACGATTTATTACTAAGTGAGAATAATAGTCTAATATTTATGATCTGAGACGGCAAAATTATGAGCATGTTACATTGATGTTTTTATTTGTATCGAACAAAATCTCTTACCATTGTATCTTTCCAAGGGAATCGGAAAAATTACACACACAATGTACCCTTTAAATTTATAATAACAGCAGCTTCTGATTGGGCTATACCTCTTTAACGTCCACTGTAATTTTGCTACCCTGAAAAAATTGTTTTGAAAAAAACCAGCTCTTAAAATGATAAAACCTCAGATGCTAATATCGGTACCTTTTCTTAGCTTAGACTTGAACCTCCTGCTGTTAAAGTCAGACAAATAATTCACAGACTGATTTTTAAAGGGCTATGTTCCTCATAGCAGCAGGGAGCTCAGGATACATCTCACTGTGAACTTAGGAAGCACAATGCTTTAAGGTGGGCTAGAAGAATTTAAGAAAAGGAAATGGTTGATTGTGTGATTTAAGATCTCTGAGGACAACTGACAAAGCTAACCTGAATTGGCTATCAGTGTAGATCTTGCCCATAAGACACAATTTTCCCATCTTCCTTACGAAACTGAAGTATTGTTGAGCTTCCACAGGCCTGTATCTATCAGTTAATTGCAGATTTGTTACTCAAACATGGTTTTTCTTTTTTTTCTTTTTTTTTTCAAAAACGGATGTTATATTTACCAAACAGTATTGCTTATGTTTGCAGATAGATCTGATAATATTATAATTTAATGCTCTTTTTATTTAATGCCATTTTAATGTTATTTAATGTTGCTCTAAGATAGAAATTCAGGGCACACAGTAAATAATGATTAGAAAATGTCACAGGAAATAACACTATTAGCAAATTGCATTATAGTTATAACAAGGAAACCAAGACAGTAGACTAAGAGGAATCTAAAATCAATATTGAACTGTAAGGTCGGGTAATTTGATAACATTGTAAGCTGGCCACAATATGTTTTCTGTGCTTGAGCGACAAGTCACTGGATTCTTTATCCAGGAGAGCCTGTAATCTAAAATGTTAAACTTACTGATCTCAGCCATCTGTACGCTGGCCAATATCCCTTTCATGTGATAAATATTTTACAGCTTTTTTTCAGTGCTGAAGAACACCGATAATATTAATATTCAAGCAGAGTTCTCCCTACCTCCCTTTACTGAGGAGGAGTTTAATTTCCCCAGGCAATATCTGGTGTATCTATTCTCAGATAAAAACTGACCAAGTGACATAGTCAATTGGTTTGATGCTGAGAAAAACTCCAGCTTATTTAGTTTCCTAAATAACGCTCCTAGTCTCACTTCGGGAGTTTTATAGAATTCTACCTTCTAAAGGCTGATTTGTGAGTGTCCTTTGGGAGAAGGAGGCAATTATCTTCAGCTTCTGACATTATTATCCCTCTGTTGACCACTTTTCCACTTAGTAGGACAAACGTCAGACCTACTCAGTATACGGTAACTTAAGATTTTACAGCAGATCAGATCACAAATCAACATGTCTCCTGTACCTTAATAATGCACCCTTGAACCTGGAAAGGTGTGTATACATGGTCAGCTATGTCCATGTAAGAGACTGGCAATAATGGACAGTTCATTAAGGCAGTTCAACCTGCTAAATGTTTAAAGATGTGCTTATGTGCTTCCTCAATTTAGGTAAAAATGCTTTGAAGAACAGAGCCCATAATATCCTGGATTGAATGTTACATTATATCAAAAGTTAAAAGCACACCAGCATACACTGCACAAAATAGTGCAAAGCTTTTAAGTTCTTTTTTAAAAAAAAAAAAATAAATGTATTGATTGCATAAGATTTAACATGAAATTTGCTAGACATCTGAAACGTATTAGCGCCCAGGGAACCATCCCATGGTTCTCTGGTGAAATCATCATGTGCAGTGGGGTCTTAGCAGATGCTGATAAATTACACCATTATCAGCATTGTTTCAACGCAGTCAATAGAATTAATGGGCAAAGAATTGGGCCTCACACTTTGATGTGTAAAGAGTTTAGTATTTTTACGGTACTATTTAATATGAACAAAACAAAAATTTTTGTCGCTGTAGTAAGAATTTCCTGCATGCTGCTACAAGTTCTTAGCATGGGATTTCTTAAGCTCACACTGACAGGAATCTGTAGCAGGAAGATGGTAGCAATTCTAAGACAAGAGTCTTATGATTAGAAATGTTAAAAGATACACGATCAGCAAATGGCTGTGTATTCTTGAGGGCAACTGAGACAAAATGTACCGTGGGAAATGGGATAAAGAAACATTAGTGGGTAAATAATTATCTGAGACAACATTTAAATCACACTGTTTCCCAGTGGATACCACTTTTCTTCATTTAACTGGACACTGCTCAGCTGAATATTAACAGCTCCCACAAATATTCCTTTGCTTTTCACAACAAGCTTCAGTATACGGCCTTTGAGCTCGGTGACTTTGTCATACACAACCTGAAATAATATAGAGCGAAACAGAAAAACACATAAGAATTTGTGAATCCATATTTGACAGGCAAAACACTTACTTCAACAGAGCATTTGGGATGATGATCGCAACTTTGTCATAGCTGCTTTAAACTGCTCTCCAGACTCATAAACTACTAACCATGAGTCAAATTCACTTAACTTAGTGCATTTACCTCAGAAATATATTTGACCTTTATATAAAAGGGATTCTGCCAGCTTAGGCTTGTGAAATCTGACTACCAAGCACTTGTAAATAAATTTGAACCCTGTGTTGCACAATGCCTGAGAAAAAATAAGTATACATGGCTTTCCCTGTGAAAACTGAAACTCCAACTTAGGCAGAGTTTTGAACTCAAAAGTGAAGAAATATCAGATCCTCCACAAAGTTCACCAAGGAATGATAATATGGTTGATTTTCTGGAGAAGAGATGGAGAGTACCTATCATGGACAGAGGCATGAAAACGTAAGGTAGGTAACTCTGTAAAAGTATAGATTATTGTAATTTCTAACTGTCTTTCCATAGTAGATGTTTTGATAAATGGTATTGCTTTTCTGCGAAAATCAGAAAAAAACCCAGGAAAACAGTTTTGATGCCATTTTTTTTTTAATCCTTGTATATTGTATTTGTTATATGTTCCTTAGTAGTGCTTTAACGCAACTTTATGTTGCATTGGTATGTCTTATAAACTGCACATCAGTGCACAGTACCTCAGAATTTTTTCTCAGTACTATACTTGTGATTAAATCTTGTTCTACACATCAGAATTAAAAAAAGATCAAGCAAAAGTAAACGCAAATTTTCTTCTAAACAAAATTTCCATAAAATTTCATAACTGTTCTAGATCCAACAATCATCATAAACGAGATAACAACTTTCCTTTGAAAATTATTTGCATAAATTTTACCATTTCAGTATGAATAACTTTATGCATGATTCTGCATGCTAACTGTATCCAAATGCGCCCATTATTAAAACACTGGCATTTTTAAATGGAATCATCACCTGTTAAACATGACAGAAAACTCAGCCCACTCAGTAGAAGTTGTAGATGTGGAACATCTCTGAGATTGGACCCAATTTAGCAAGCGGAACTTATTAAATTTGGATGTTTCTGTTACCCAAGAAATGCTGTTAGTACTTCCCAAAGTAAATGAGACAGCTTGCTTAGCATCTCTTTAGAAAATTACTCAGGTCTATAATCTTTAAAATATCCTTGGAATTACCTTAATACTATGAGAACACACTGAGCTTAATTATGAAATGTTAATGGTGTATTTTCTGAAATTTAAAACAATATCTGTGGTGATAGGCTGACAAGAATCAGCTGCACTCAGAACAGATTCCTGCGTTTCAGTCTCTGCATTAATCAAAAACCGCTGAGTGAACTGCCTGTGGGTTGATAAAACGTGAAAGAATGCTCTCAGCTAGTTTCAGGCCTGAAAGGTAAGCTTTGTTAAGATTAAATTTGTTAACTTAATCTGAAATTTCTATGGCTGGAAATGTTTTTGCTATTTCAGTTGCAACGGAAAATGCTTTCTGAACTTCACAGGTGGACTCGGGAGGCACAGAGTCGTGGGTTTTCCCAGGCAAGGTTAGCTGGCCTCGGCCGCCCCGTGGGACTGCAGAGCCGTTCTGTCCGCACCGTGCGCCGCAGGGATGTCGCAGCCAGCGCCGGACAGACAGGACACCGGGCTGTTCCGGCAGCCAGCACCAACAGACAGCACACAGAGCTCTCGGGGGTAGGGGGTGATCAGCGCCGTGGGGGTGAACGGCCACTGCCACAGGTGGTGGGGGAAAGAAAAACAGTCCTGCTCTTTTTAACTGGATATTACTAGAAAGGTCTTACCAAGGAGCAACATTTCCATTTCCATTTAGAAACCTTTGAAAATCATAGTTTGGAACAGCTGTCATGAAGGTCACGCCTGGTGCTTTTTGGTTTTGATGTTTACTTTGCCTATTACACCAAATTGTATGTGAATTAAAAATTCCAGCTTCTCTGTCCCCAGTGGCATCTCCCCACCAAAATCAAAGTGAAATGATGAAGAAAATCCAAAAAGCAAGGACAGGTACTGTAAGTGACAATGTAATTTAGAATAAATCTATTACTGAAGTGATACTGATGTTACTGTGGAAAGGTGTCTGGTTTCTTTGCCAATATATTAAATATCTCATCTTCAGCTGTTGCTTTAAATTACCAAAAAGTGTACATGTAAGCTGTAAGAGCTAAGAAATCTTC